TGAAAAAAAGGCAAGTGGAATAGCAGTTGAAGAGTCGTAAGAAGAGAAACAATTAAGAGAGGTCATAGAGGAGTTTATTCAAGAGGAGAAAGACATTGAAATGGCACCTAAAGAGAGAGGAGATGAGAAAAAGGCAGCTGAGGGTGCAGAAATGCGAAAACGTTCATGTGAAACATATGGGGAAACGCAGAAAAGGTAATTAAAATGCGAAATGAAGATTAGCTCTTCCAATGATATACAACTGAATTGTAAAATAGCGAGTTGGTGATTAAGGTCAGCTGTTGAATTGTGAACTCCATGGAAGACATTTCAAATAAGTTGTTATTCCTGAATTGTAATGCTCATAAAGATTCCTATAATCTCCCTCCCTATTGGAAATTTCCCACCTCTGGTAAAAAAAAAAAAACTGTCTTTGCTATTTTGCAAATATTAACAACTTGTAACAAGTTGTAACCAGGTTTGGATGAGTGTGAAAGCAAATCCTTGTAAAACTTTCCGAGATTTCACAGGGGTCCCCTGAGTTATCTCGGAACAAAAACAGACCATCGCGAGGCCTGTTTTTTTCCCGAAATCTTCCGAGTTGTTGTTGCGCATGCGTCACCTTTTTAGCTTGTATTTTTCTTAATTTTTTTCCCGAATTTTATTTTTACTGTTAAGCGCATTGAGGCTTTATCATAATGCGCTATATAAGCCAAAATTATTATTATTATATTATGTCCATATTTTGACCTTTTCGCGGGCTGTTTTTTTTTTTTTTTTTTTTTTTTTTGTTTAGTTCGAACGAATGGCGGCAGCGATGGAAAACATATCAACATTACTACCATTTGTTAATAGGGCTAGACCTAAAATCAAAAGAAACCTCGCTAAATTTCACATGTCTGATGTAGAAACAATCACGAGGCTTCGTAAAATACGCCGACAGCGAATCATTATGATGCTTGTCGCACTGATTGCCTCTAACAACAATGGTGAGCTACCGGCCGGCGGCCCGACTGCGCCTAGCTAGCCTAGGCCTATCTTTCTCGCCAGCTCGACTACAGCAAGCGAGCGAGCTAGGAGTTGAATTTGTTTTACTCTCTGAAGGCTAAGGACCATGGAATAATTATAATCTTGTTAATTCGGTACCAGGCCTAGTTTAGTAGTAGTTGATATGTAATTCGGACAACCTACAACTAGCATAGGCCTACTACTACTAGTACTACTCTAGGCCTCTAGGCCTAGTCATTATTCTTCCGAGTTTTCCCGAGATTTCTCGTGGTTTGAAAGTGTATGTGTGAAACGAACCTAAAATCTCGGAATATCAAACTTGTTAATAGTTGTTAAAAGTTGTAATATTTTCTGCTAGTGTGAAATGGGTATAATAGACAAAATTTAGCTCATTGGTTTATTTACATTTTTTCATTTGTTCTTTCTTTTTAGACATAAGGATGAAAGCAGCACAACGGCCAGAAGGAGGAACAGTGGGAATAATACAATCAGCCTCATTCAGAAAAAGATGGAGCTTGACGGGCAACTCCGAAGGGAAGAAATAAAGAGAAAAAGGGAGGAAGAAAAAAGAAGAAGGGCAGAAGATAGAGAAAGAGATAGGAGGTATGAAGCTCTGCAGCAGCAGCAGCTCCAACAACAACAACTAGTAAAACAGCAAATACTCCAACAGCAACAAATCTTGCAGCAACAAAATCAGATGATGATGTCGTTGTTAAAGTCTTTGAAGAATTGAATATGCATATACTCTGTTTGAGTACCCTATTACACAGTTATGTTCTTCTCTTTTAATGTTTAACTTTTTAATAAGATGGAGGAAATATTTCCTCCATGGTAATAAGGTAATCGAATAGAGTACCTTATTGAACATGTTTTGTTGATTATTTTTCAGGTTTGGTTTTCGTCAATTAAAGCCCCATTCCCGGCAAAATTTCACTAAAAACTGACTTTTTTTTAGAAAATATGCATTTGCATTACTCCAATTATTATAAATCATGGAAAAATATTGGCATGAATTTTAGTTTTACGCAAAAGAA